CTCTCCTTCATCTGTTAGGCCTCAGACCCCGAGTATATAACAGTCAACTCAGTACAATCTGAATATTAAAATGTAACCCGCTTAACAAAACTTAGATTTTATTTTGGCTTCTGTGCAATTTTATAAACAGTTTTCATCTTGTTATCAGAGTAACCACACAAAAAATGACTCCATAGAAGGATCAATGAGGAAACAAATTTTGGTGTGTTGCTACTAATGGAACTCCAAACTTTATTCCGAGCTCATGAGTTTTCCTGCTAATTTCCATGTTTGGACCCGCCACTCGACAATACCACATTGCATTTTTTGTCATGACTCCTTCGTCTTCTTTGGTCTGTGACAGTTTTTTAGTCTTCCCTTGTTTTTCATGACCTTGGCATTTTTGAGGAGTATTGGCCAAGCATTTTGTAGAATGTTCCTCAGTGTGGGTTTGTCTGATGTTTTTGTCATGATTAGACTGGGGTTGCGGATTTTCAGAAGTATCCCACAAAGGCTGTGTGCTCTTCGTATCACATCTTAGGAGGATGTGCGTGATAATCCATGATACTGCAGGTGATGTTAACCTTTACTACTTGGCCAAGGTGGCGCTTATTTACCAGGCTTCCCCAATAGCAGTCGCTATTTTTCTGTTTCCCTGCTCTGTTCTTTGGAAGCTAGTCACTAAATCCAGCCGGCACTGGGATTAAGCTTCACCTCAAGGAGGGGTTAGCTCTACTTCTGATTCTTGTCCCCTGCCCAAGTGGGAAGCCCTAGGACCTACTACACCTCTCTGCACTCAGGGAGGGAGTCCCCTCAAGGGTCACCTCCTCTCTAAATCCTGTCCTGAGGGAGCGCCCTACTCTCGCTTTATATACCGCAAAATGCCTGCCTCCACCTGCCGGAGCCCTTGTTTGGACGGCATGTTTGTTTCCTCCATTATGTATGTAGTCAGGCGCTCGAGGGCTTGCTGCACAATTTTTTATAACACAATAAGAACAGTAGTAATTATAGCATGCAACCACTTACTGAGTTTTATGGTTTGGTACTTGTTATAAATAAGTACTTTTACATGGATTATCTCATATAACCTTCACAACCACTGTTGAGTGGACACCATTAATTTTCCCCATTGTACAGATGAGAAGACTGAGCCATAGGCAGCTTACGTTGCCCAAGGACCTGGGACAGCCCTGCTCCCTGCCACCCATTTCTGACCTCTGTGACTGGTACTGAGCAAGTGTGGAATTACTATTTAAAGGAATACAGTGATGAATTGATTTACAGGACTAATTTCCCTCCTTGACTGATAGTCGCCCTTGGTGGGCTTGTTAAATTTGCACATAGATTCCACATACTTATGGCTTATTGTATCTTATCGCCATTCAGACTAATTTTATGTATTAATGACTAAAGAAAGAAATATTTACTTCTGAATTTTATGTCCTGACTCTTGAGATGAAGAAGTGAAGAAGAGTTAGTAAGAAGTCAGCAGATAGAAGTATAAAATTACTGCCAAAATAATGTAATGGGACAACGTGCTGTCGTATCATTGCAGGGCAGAACTGTGCAACTCTTCAACTCCGTCTTCCTTGTGCCCCCAAAGTGTGACTGGTGGACTCGGTGTGTGTAGGGCCCTGTGCTAGGCTTTGTAATGAAGTGGAACAAGATGCAGAAGAGACCTGCCCTCAGAGAGTAACCCCCTAGTGGTGAAGGCAGACACCAGGGAATAAGCAATAAATTTCAATAGTAATAAGATGTCTGAAGGAAACCGAAACCCATTGCCAGGAGCGTGCCGTCTACAGGAGCCTCTCCGACAAGGAGATATTTACGCTGAGATCAAACATTTAGCCAGAGGTTGGTTTCAGAGGCAGTCCTTGAATTCATTAAAAAGAAAATATTTCTCATTATAGTTGACTGAGAAACTCAATCTAAACGGATAGATTCTTTTAGTGCTGATATGTTGGCAGTATGTCTCCATCAAGATCTCATTCCTACAAGATTCTGAACATGGGAAATTACTTTTGGCAGCTTGAACTGCCCTGTGGTTTCTACTATGTGCCTCCCTCCGCCCCTTTTGAGAACGTAGCCCTGTATATTAGGTGGCCACGTCAGACCTGCTGAGCTGTTCAAAAAGGGTCCAGCTGCCAAGATGCAAATATCCTGCGCATCCAAGCAAGTCAATAAGGGTAAACTAAAGTGCAAGTGAGACTTTTCCTTCTTATTTTAGATGGGCAGTGTCATACCTGAGAGCATACCTGAGAGAGGAAAGCTTCTTGCTGATTCGTTGTTTTGGTTTTTTTTTTTAATCCCCCAAACCAGGTTTAAGTTAACCACCGTCTTTATTTAGTGTCATGTTTCTTACTTAAAAGCATTTATTTAAAGTTCTGAAAAACAAAGCATTCAATACTGTGAGACTTGTGCAACTACAAATGATTAATGATATAATTCTCAGTCTTTTATAAAGTGTCTTGAGACTGAAGAGATTTATACGGGGGGAATGGCAGTGGTGCTTCGATGTGAGAATAGGTAATCGATACCCGCAAGCTTGGAAAAAGTGTTCTGTTTCCTCCTCTAATGACATAGAGGACCGTGAAGCCCTCCAAAGAAGAATTAATTTAAAATCTGAAGTGGAAGATCAGTTTCAATTAACATTGCACTTGAATGTATATTGGGTGGAAGTGTGAAAGCAAGCATGTAGTCGGCTTAAATCTTCAGATTGTTACCAGTGAAGAAATGAATTCCGCAGTAGGAACCCCGATTATATTTTTAGAGTGCTAAATTATATTTCACCCATGTCGGGAAGGTTATGAGAAGTAATGAATTACAAGTACTTTCAGTGGTTGCAGAGTATCTTTTTTTTATTAGTTTGTTAATGATCAGGTGTCTATAGTTTTTATAGGTGATGTCTTGCATTCTTATTTCTTTGGGGTCATACATGTTTGGATTTATTTTACGGTGCATTTATTTTTTCATTGAGTAATTTGTACTGGTGAGTTTCTAAAAGTCATTATACATGCCCACGATATTAAAATATTAATTTTCATAATTTGAACATACAGGCCCAATTGTAGCTAAACAAAATTTACATCTTGGTCAGCCATCAAATGTAGCAACAATCACTTTATTCAATTTTTCAATGGAATTTTTTGGCACATGGAAGAAAATTTAAAGAGTGGACAGGATAATTAGGTCCACTCATTATGTCCTCTTTCACCTCCTTTTTTTCTTCAAATATATTGACGCAATACAAAATAAAGTTTGACTAGAATATATGCAAGTGCACTCTCTTCCTTTATGACTCATCACAGGCTTTCCCGAATTTAACCAAGAGGCAAATTAGCATGAGTGAAAAGCCCTTGACCGTTCTGTGTTTAGTTGGAGTCCTACAGCAAAGAAAACGGTGATGTTAACTTTTTCGAGAAAGTATTGTGGCACTTGTAAATGAATTTGAAAAGTGCCCCGAGGTTGCTAAAACTTTGCCAATCAGTGTACTTTTTTTTTTTTTTTTGATACTGTCTTTTTTCGTACTGTTTGGGATGAAGATTAGGGGAAATGACCCAGGCCTAGCATGAGGCCAAGTTATTTGCCAGATAACAAAATATGAATCATTTTTAGTGCACCATGTCAATTGTTGCAGTCATGAACCTTGCATTACCATGACTGCAAAGATTTTCTGTGTTTTTCCCCTTTTTCATGGTACCATTGTTTATATCAGCTGTGAGCTCTATCAGACTTAGGCGGATGGGGAAACTCATGCCAAATAAGTGTGGGATGGTGGGTTGGGCACAGGGGTGGGCTCTTACTTAGTTGTAGGGAGACTTACCTTAAGGTATCTTTGTGTCCTCCATCATACAAGGCTAGGTATAGAGCATGCACAAAAATAGGGATTGTTGGACGGGTTAGTCTCCTGAAATCACTTTGGCTGTTCATCTTCTTCTGTTGATATGTGAAGAAATGTAAGGCTAAAAAACCTAGGAACACATGTGTTTGTATATGTACGTATATACACAAACCACACTTTATTGATTGGCTAGTCTAAGTTCTATCTTCTAAATATTGTAAAGTTTAGACTTACTCTATGTTGAATACTCAAAAGGAGATTTATCTTAGTCTTTCTAGCAAAGGATCTTTTTTTTCCAACAAGCTTGTCCTGCTTTGTCATATCAAGACCATTAAAGGTAGGGTACAGAAAAATCTCAGAGTTACTTATCAACTTAATAGACATCACCCCCAAATATTTCCAACTAGGACAGAGAAGCAGATACAACGTGTTTTCTCTATCTATTCTTGACTGGTACCCATAAGGATTATGCATTATAGTTGCATTCTCTAACTTTGTTTTGTGGCATATGTCCCCCAAAAGTCTTTATTTATATGAGTGTTGAGTCCATTGTGAAGGTAACTTGATATCCCCATCTTTTATGACAGAGAGGTGAGTGCCTTAATTCACAAGTATACAAACTGGCCTAATTGAAAAACCTTTCACAATTAGACAAAGGAAAACCTTGTCTCACTGCCTAGACTCTTTGTAATGACACTTGCCCAGTGTTGTGTTGCTTTCATTTTTAATTTTTTGCTATTCTGGTTCACTGACTCTAGGAAATAAGAAAGCTGTGATTAGTATGCTGTAAACAATAGCAAAGCATGCTAAATTGATTAAGACTTTTTCTGGTGAATAAATGGTTTGCTTATTTTAGGAAACTTGTTTAAATTTTTTACAAATGTGAACAACTCTGACCTGCTCAACTCTCTCCTAACCTGATTACAGATAAAGTTAGCAAATGTTTGATTACAAATCAAGGAGGAAAACTATCTTAAGCAGTATATCTTTTCTTACATCTTCTCGCCCTATCAAGCAAATGGCTTGGACCTGTAGTTTTCAATGCAGTGTCTGACATCTTTGGAGTAGCCACGTGTAGGACAATGCACCTTGGGAAATGCAGTGCTTAGCTTCTACTTCTTATTTGTTCCATTCCTAACCCTTGAGCCCTGAGGACTGAAGTATCGTTTTCTTTCACCAGGTGCGTATGGGCCTGAGCACTGGGTGACATCTAGTGTCAGCTGCGGGGGCCGTCACCAGTCTCCTATAGACATCTTAGACCAGCATGCCCGCGTTGGGGAAGAGTACCAGGAGCTGCAACTCGATGGCTTCGACAATGAGTCTTCTAACAAAACCTGGATGAAAAACACGGGGAAAACAGGTAGACTGTGTCTTCTTTACCTGTCCACAAAGCAACATGAACTATTGGGTTGTCGGAAAAGTCAGGATGCATTTTTGCAACAAAAAACATAGAAAAGATACGTCATGACTTTTCCGACAACTCAGTATTTCTGGATGGCTCTGGCATTTGCTTTAACCATGACTTGCTCCTTAAGTAGTGAACACAGCTATTGGGAGCATATAGCTCAGTGAGAGCTTTGGAATCCCTGAGTTTGAGAACCAGCCTCTTGCTTTACTAGTAGCTATGTGATTTTGGACAAATTACTTCACCACTCTGTGCCTCAGATTTAAAAAAATACGATAATGTGGATAATAAAATTGTATCAACCTGATAGGGTTGGAAGGAATAAATGAGTCAACATATGTAAAGTGTATAGAATGGACTTTCAAGAGTCTGTTCTGTCCAGTATGGGCCAGTGGCCACATGTGGCTATTTAAATTTAAATTAATTAAAATTAAGTAGGATGAAAATTCACCTCCTCAGTTTTGCTAGTCACATATCGTCTCCCCCCTCCTCTCCCTTTGTTAGATTGTCTATTTACAATGTTTGAAAGCAGAGAAGACACATTCAGGTCTTCTTGGGATTTGGGGGGCAAGGGGGTCACTAGACATATTTATTTTCCAGTTTTATTGAGATATCATTGAAATATAACAGTATCCCTTTTTATTTTGTTGATTGTTTCTTTTGCTGTGGAGAGCTTTTTAGTTTGATGTAGTCTTACTTGTTTATTTTTGCTTTTGTTGCTTGTGCTTTTGGTGTCATTCATATTATCATTACCAAGACCAATGTCACGAAGGAGATTTTTCCCAATGTTTTCTTCTGAGTTTTGCAGTTTCCAGTCTTCGATTTAAAGCTTTAGTCCATTTCAAGTTAATTCTTGTGAATGATAAAAGGTATGGGTCCAATTTCATTCTTGTATGTCAATATCCCATTTTCCCAGCATCAGTTGTTGAAGGGACCATCCTTTCCTCATTGAGTATTCTTGCCTCCCTTGTCAAATATTGGCTGATTGTATATGCGTGGATTTATTTCTGGGCTCTTGATTCTGTTCATTTGGTCTATGCATCTGTTTTTATGCCAATATCATACCTTTGGATTATTATAGCTTTATAGTATAGTTTGAAATCAGGAAGCATGATGCCTCCAGCTTTATTCTTTTTTGTCAGGATTGCTTTGGCTGTTCAGGATTGTTTTGTGGTTCTATAGGAATTTTAGGACTGTTTTTACTACTTCTGTGAAAAATGCCCATAGAATTTTGATAGGGATTGTATTGAATCTATAGATCACTTTGAATAATGCTGTACTAAGCATGTTTCACGTGCTCAATAGCTACATATGGCTAGCAGCTACCATATCAGGCAGCACAGATAGAGAACATGTCATTGCAGAAAGTTCTCTTGGACAGTGGAAATAAAATTCTTACCTTCCATGAGATTTTGCTTCGTTAATATTTCTTATTATATTAAAATGCAGATGAACGCTTACTCATCCCTTTGTGTATCAGACCAGCAATTAGATCCTCCCATGAACTGGGCTTTGAGATCTAGGAATATGAAACATTGTATTTTCACCATTGCTAATGCAAAGAGCTGCCTCCCTCCTAATCGCTATTGTGCGAGAAGTATCAGAGAAGGCTTCCCTATGCCCCACTGTCCGTTGTGAAAATAAACATCAGAGTGTTAATGATACATCTCTGCCTAGTGCTATCTGGGATTCTGTTGGTGCTAAAGATATTTTTCATATCTTATTTTTGAACTCTTATAACCCTAACCCATTAAAACAAACTCTCCCCCTCTCTCCCTCCCAACCTCCCTGTCCCCCTCTCTTTCTCTTGAAATGATCCCTTGTGACTACAAACCACTCTTAGTAATCCCCTTAGAAGCTTTGGCTTCCTGAAGCCCCCATGCTGGGCTAAAATGACTTCACTATCAGCCCTTTGATCCCAATTATGTTGTGAGTCACAGTTGCCTTTTCTTTTAACCTAACTGGCTGCACGTGCAACTTTGGGGATCCATTTTCTTCCTCCAAACCAGCATTTGTCTGAGATTATTCATAGTTGATTGCTTTGGGTTGGCCTGATATGTTCATAGAATTGCTTCCTACTCAACTCTGTGCAATGATTGCTGGCGTTGGGCTCTTTTTCATAATGTCCTCATAAGTACGTAGTTCTCCTTCTAGCTTTATAGCAGGCTAGTCTCTGCTGTACCTTGACTCACCCATTTCCACTCAGGAAAGACATGAGTACTGTAATATTATTTGTACACAAGTTTTCACCACCCTCCTCGACTCTCCTCATGTAGATGTATGCTTATTGCTACAATTCGGAATTTCTGCACCAGTGGTCCTGCTTTATAGTTCCAATAGGAGTGTCCTTTGGAGAACTGTGATGGGAATATTACTCCTCAGACTTGCTGAATGTGGTGGACAGGAGCTTTGCCACACTGGGTGTCATCAAATCTTGGGTTGAGTAGTTGAGTGCCACCTCAGTGCCACATTCCAGAAGCCTGCCAAAGGCAATTGTCTGGGCTCTCTGATAAGGTTTTCTACTTGACTTGCAATGCTTGACAGCCTTCTGCAAAGATAACACATTTCAGTGACAGCTTTCAGCTTGATATCGCCAATGACAGGTTTTAGAGGAGTGTAGGGTTCACTCAATGCAAGTTGATTCATTACCTTTGTCTTCCAGAAGCTGATTATCAATCTCTGTCACTCTGCTAACTTCCCAGAGTGACCCACAACTTGTCGCACATCTGCAAGTGTATGCATTTTGTTTTAGCTACAGCCATCCAAACAGAAACACAGCTGTCTCCGGAATTTCAGAAGCACCACCTCTTGAGACATAGACATACATAAATCCTCGTTACTTCCCAAACTGTACTTATTACTGTGCAATTCATGACATCATACTAGATAGGACAATATCTCATAGTCTAAGATGATTCAACAGGAGTGGTGTTGTAAAACTGGCAACCATTTATAGGCAATTTTAAACAAGGACATGGAATTGTTTTTCTGTTTTTGTCTTGTTTTGCTTTGTTTTTTTTGAAGATTTCAATCTATTGCAATTTAGAAACTTAAGTTCAGAAATCAACCTGTGTTGTTCTGATTAGTTGTATTTTTTGGAGAAGCACAAAAGAAACTTCTTTCATTCTGCAATCCTTTAAAAGTGCAAGTGAGTTCATAAATTTTCCAGTATTTTAGAGAAATGAAAATTGAGTTGTTTTGTCTGTTATGCATGGATCATGTAAATGCAATTGAACAACAGCACACATACAGTGCAGGGTGCTGTGTGTCTAAGTTACAAGTCGGGGTTGATGATATCCACAGTCAATAGTATGGACAGGCAACCTGGATAATGTCAGTTAAAAAAACCCCACACCTATCATTGTACTGTGTAATGATACATTGTATCATTTTACCATTGGGGAAACTAGATCAAGGGGGCACAGCAGCTCTGTATTATTTCCTACAACTGAGCGTGAATTTAAAATTATCAGAATAAAGAAAACTTTAATTAGCAAAAGCCTCATGTCATAAGCCACATGGTCTGTCTTTGTTACAGTCACTCATTCAATTTAACTTATCTGCCTAGATGAAGAAAAAACTTCTTTAATCATTAATTTTTAAGCAACACATGTTTTACTTCTCCAAAAGTCTTTTCTTGAAACTTGTACTTTTAGAAATAAATTCAGGAAGGAGTATTTTTTTTTTTGGTGGAAATTTACAGACCACTTATCTGTAAAATAGACTGTCTTTTGGATATTAAACTATGAATATAGAAAGTTAATATTTAAAGCATCTTAGCACAGACAGTAACTTTCCCATAAAACAGTTTTAATGCTGAGAGTGTTATATATCCAATCCAGCATAATCAATAGAGGAAGTTGGTTGTATGTAGCCCACTTCTCAAAAGTTGTCTAGAATATCTTTACAAGACAGGTAACATCTCTTTATTTCTTCCTGAGGAGCCATAACTGTCTTTTGTGCCAGTTCTCATTTGACTTCATCTAAAGTTATTTCCCTTTCTTTCATTTTCATAGAATGAAAAGGTAATGCATTCATCAAGAACATTTCAAGATAATCTTGCTGCTTCTAGCATTAGCTTCTTGGTAAATGATCAGAGTTTAAGACTTAGATGGAAACTCTGATGTATCTTAATAAGCCATGGCCTCCTATGAATTTTAACCATTTGGGGGGCTTTTTTGTTGTAGCTTGTTTTTCCCACTACTTTTAATTTCATCCCACACCAGGAACAAATAGTACATGCATTTGTCATAATGCGTCTTACTTCCCTTTGTCTACTTTATATTTGTTTACTATGTATAGTTTTTTTTCTTTGCCTACATTTCCTCCTATTTATCTACATGTTCCACAGTGTCTGGCTTAGATGGTTTTAAGAAATAGTTGTTTAAACTAATAAAAGTTGGTGGATGGTGGGGAAACCAGGTGTAGCTAAGTAGGTCAGGAACCATGTCCTAATATGTTGTTGAGCCCATAAAATTTAGACAAGGTGTAGGAGGCTGTTGGGTCCACTTTATTTTCCTGTCTTTTGGATCTTTTATAGTGTAGTAGCACCCTAAGAACCCACACACTTAAGAAACGAACCACCTCGTTGCAGACTTATCTAAAGAGAAGTACAAAATCTTAACCTTCTCAGTCATTTCTATGCTTCTACATGCTAGTTCTCTAATTGAGCATGTGACCCCCTGCTCAGTGTAAAAGAAGCAGTTGACCATGGGGCTGCCAAGCAAATGTCTGACATTAAAAGAAACGCTGTTCTGTTGGTCACTGAAGTTCACAGCTCACGCTTACTGTTGCCTCATTGCTGCCTTAAGAATCTGTGTTCTGTCCCAAGGTGGGCGGGGAAACTGAGGCACGTCTGAGAGTCAGCTCCTGAATGCCATTACAAGCACCTTACAAGGCTTTTGTGGCGATCTTCAGGATGCTTGATTCCCTCCCAAATTGATGGACTTGAATGC